CCCTATAATAGTGAAACTTGAGCGCGCAATTTTCCATCATCCATCGCACAGTGTTTGCGCGTTTGACTTGAAAAGTAACGGATCAAATGTAAAGCATATTCAGAGCAGACAATAGAATCCATTCGATACTTTTGGCTGATTTTTTTCCATCAGCGCAGCTTGCAATGCGGAAGGGGCTGTTGGATTTCTTTTGACGCAATTGTCTCCGACGCGGCGCATCAGGTTTTATCTTACGCGTGCTGCGTCCAGAGTCTAAAAGTAAAAATGCGTATATAGGAAGGAAAGGGAAAGCGATGAAAAAAGGCCGGGAACATATTTGAATTGTTCCGTTCGTTGTCGGTTCCCATAATGGTTGTTGCAACAACTATACAACGTGCTTTGTTCGGTATCGTGTTCCAGCCCAGCTAATTTCGTATTCAAAATGTTTTGTTAACGCTTGCAAAGTCTCTTCCGTATTATTTTGTTTGTTTTTTTTTTCACTGTTACTTTCTTGTTGGAACAAAAAATTATCGCATTGTTGCCGGACGGGGATGATTTGTTTGCTTTAAGATTTTCTCTTTGTCCGAGCCGCCGGTCTTCCGAATACACGTTTCCGATTTTTTGAGTTGACCCTCGCAAGAAATAACAGTTTCTACCCTCGTGTGATTGGAGAAGCTTTGCGATGAGGAACTCGACAGCTACATTTTTAATGAACATTAAAAAAGGTTTTTCAATCATCTATTATAATACTGTATATTCTCTATTTTTATAACAATTCAAGTAATATTCACTTTGTGATTGATGCTAAAACATCATAAAATTCTTATAGAGTGATTTCATCATGGAGACTTGCAAATTTTATTCAATAAATATTCTGAATTCTGGTACTCGTAGATGTCCAGAATTCATCAGTCAAGGAGGACGAATCATAAATTATACAATTTTAAATCACAAATAATTAAAATAATAATTATCTAAGTTTCACTAAACCGACCATTTTTTTCTTCAAAATCTAACAAATAATGAGACTAATTCTAAATATTATAATTTGATTCTTTATTATTAAAAAAATTTATGTTCCTATAACATAACCACCCATTAAATTCTAAATACTGGGTAACTAGGTATAATTGTGTGAATTGCAATAGTGAATTGAAATAAGGATGCTGATCCTAATTAAATTGAAAAAAATTTACAATGGATTCGTCTCGCCAAAACCCTTTTCAATTATACTTCTTATTATTAACATCATGAAAGGGATTTCTTGGCACTCTCTGTGCCATTTTTATTATTTGCATGAATGATTATTATTATTTGCGGCGCGCGTGCCGCCCGTAGCTCTGCAGACAGCATAATATATTTTCTTTCTATTTCGCTCGTCGAGATCTCTTTCTGCACCGGATGTACCTTTATTCTTCTCGGACCCTTTCTGCGCGCCAGCTACTTGACGCCTCCTCGTCACAAAACGCGTCTCGCCGCCGCCTTATTCATTCCACACGCATTCATTACTAATTCAGCATCTCAACAAAATTATTTTGCATTACATTCACTAATCACAAAATTTTTAAAAACCCAAAATAAAAAGGAAATGCCAGAATTCTCTTAATGTTCTTGCGGATCGCAAGTTTAAATTACTTTTGTTTGCAAAATATAAAAATTTAGAATATTTAGTAAAATTTGAATAAGTTTTTGTATCACTTTATATCATTAAAGGATTTTCAAATAATCTTCAAACTTGAAATAAGATTAAAATTAATTTCATTTAAAAAAATTTCAAAATATGAAACAACAATTTTGGACAAAAAGTCATTGGCACGTGCAGACTATTCAATCCAACACAAAGAATTCTGGTCCAGCCCTGCTCATTATAGAAAAAAAGTTGCTCATGCCCGCGCCGTATATTTTTGTGATCACAACTCCATTGACGGGAATATCATAAAAGTATAGAGAGCTGCTGTGCGCGTTTTATTATCATGCACCACCTCGATAATATCATAATGGAGCTCACGCGTGCTGCGTGCATGTTTATTTTCGGCACAAAGAACAAAGTCGTAAATAAAAATTCACAAACGCACAATGCTAATAAAAATCCGGGGGCAGCCAGCTCGGAACCGCTTTTCTTTATTCGAGCAGTTGTTGCTTCCTTTTCGCGTGTATGGCACAAAACGGGCGTTTTTTAAAACTGAAAAGTTGCACGGCCGGCGAAACGAGAGAGAGAGAGAAAAGAAAGCCAATAGGCAGAGCATCTTCTCCCTGCTTTTTTCTATTTGCACGCCGAGAATAATTTGCATGACAATCGCCGATCTTTTTGCATTCTTGTTGTGTTTGTCTGAGAACTTCTGCACCTACGGCTAACGATTTTTTATTTCGTTCTGGACTCCTGTTTTCGCAGAAGCAACCGAAAACGTTAACTCTATCATCGCGCACGATCACGCGGGTCAAATTTGGCTCGGCCTGTCTGCGAGTTCTAATTGAGATCTCAAAAGAAACAAGAGTCGTTGCTCTTTATTCTGACAATTTTATGGCCGCGAACGCTGCCATAAGCGCACCAACCGACTCATTTGCATTTATACTTCCATGTGGATTTTCAGTCGCGGCATAAAAAGAAGAAGATTCATGATTGCCGCCGGGCGTTATTAGAATTATTTAACATCCATCCATGTGGCTTATCAAAGAGAAGATCTTGCACAAATTAGATAAATACATGAAAAGGGCTTCAGTCTTGCCGGCATTACAAAAAATCTAGACGTATGTTTTTATTTTTTATTTATATAAAATTAATTCAGCAGCCAAATTATCTCATCATCTGTGAAGTGACAGCAAATCTTCTTACGGTTTCTATGCGCAATATCACCAGAAATCACTTCTATATTTTTTGATTAACATTAATAGAATTTAAGAGATTAACCTTGAGCGCGTTCGTTCAACTTTCAGAACTAATGACCAAACTCATTATTATTAAATTTCCCTTTCGGCGCGTGAATTAAACTCTTGCGGATCCATTCAGAAAAAAAGAAATTGTATTCGTTTCATTCGCGTAGACGGTGGCGGCACGTGTCCCCATTTGACTGGCATGTTTATATTAATCGTTTTTTGATCCAAACGAACAAGTTCATTAGGCTCTGAATTGATTCTTATCTCAACGCCAACCAAAGCTTATTTAATGTGCAAACAAATTGAAAAAAAAAATATAATTTCAAAAATTTATTCTGTTCAAATTGAGTCACTCTGATTTAAAATTATCTGATAGTAAAAACGATGTTTCCAATCAAAAAATAGCCAAAAGTGATTTCTTTTTAACTTTTTTTTACTATTTTGAGATTATTTCGAGTCATAACTTTCATAGCAGATGCACTTTTAATGTTGTAACTGTTTATCATCATTAGTAGAGAAAATTTTTCAACTGAAAAAATTAGATTAAAATTGTATTTCTTTTATTACAAATCTAGAATTTAAATGACTTGCTAAAAGAAAGACTTTCTTGAGACTCTATTGCATAAAAGAGGCTTGACCTGTTCAGAATTTTTTAATTAAAATGTCTATAAAAGTCTTATTTTTTAGCAAAAGAAAATTGTTTACACCAGCCAATAAAATTTTAACATTCATTTTAAAATACCGTAAAAAGCAAAGTTTTTTTTCTTATATTTTCCAGTGAAGTTTTTTTTTAAAGAAAATAAATAAAATGAAAAATTTTATGTTTAAGCAATAATTAATTGAAAGGCAGCAGACGCTTCCCAGACGATCAGATCAAGATTGGTTTTACGGCCATCTAAATTTGTACCCACACTCAATTCAATTACCTGCACAAGACTCGCCGGTTTTATGTCCGCCCTCGTTTGAATGCAAATCAGTCTCCAATCTTTTAATTCAATTCAATCTCGTTCAAAACAAACGCCTTCCGCCGATTTTTTTGCTGTTTCGTCGTCTGCTGCCCTTGTTTCGATTACATCTCTCAGTTTGAAGATTCAGCAGCCGCCGCGTGATATCACGAGATATTCTTCCATCACATACACCCTTTTTTTATAATAGTACTTCAGAGAGGCGCCGCTGCCGGGTGCAATCACCTCTTTCATTGACTCTCGTTGAATTGCTAATCGAGAATTTTCCACAGGGGATCTAAAGAATAAAAATTTAATTTAATAAGAGTCCGTCGTAATAAATGGAGGATTTTTACAGCTCAATTCGCACCTTGTTTGGCGTTTACAACTATGAAAATTAATATTTATAAGACGGCCAGAAAAAAAGTAATAATATTTTGGTGCTCATACATTTTTTTTCTTTTGTTTGGGAACAGTTTGGGAAGTTATTAAATAGTTGAAAGAGGCGGAGAAACAGGCGTGGAGAGCCCACATAATTAATACTTTGAGGAATTTAATTATAATTTAACAGGATTTTATGCCGAGAAAAACTACATCTCATGACTTGCACCTGAACTAAATGGAATTTGCTTTTAAAGCCATAACCCTTCATAAAGATCATTATAACAATTCCTGCATGAAATTTACCCAGGACCAAAAAGAGCAGAAATGAATGTAGTGCACGTTTAAAAAAAAGTATTAGAACGAATAGAACGTAGAGTCACAAAAAGTCTGATGTATTTTGTTGTGTCTCTTTTATGTAAAAATTATGCTGAGAAGTATCTACAATATTAAACTAACAATGAGTGGAATTTTAAGGATTATGTTTATATTTAAAAATTTTAATATATGACGGCACTGATCTTCAAAGCAGCAAAGACATTTTAAATAAAATAGAATGAATTTTAAAGTGTCTGGTCGGCCTGTGCCCTTTTTGGGCTTGTGGTAGGCAAGCTGCAATGCATCAACGCTCCATTATATGCCTCATATATGTACATAATACCTGTTTATGCCCCCAACGTTGCCCCGTTGATCCCCCCCTCACCCTCAACATGTGTAAAATCGGAATCAACCTTAAGAATTCTTGCGTACAGCGCCACCAGACACCGCAGCACAGACACGTTCACTGATCCGCCCCGCTCAGCAACAAAGTATTCCGCTCGCTACTTCCGCTTCCCTTCCCGCTGTTGCAGTCTGGTCTCTGGTCTCGTCCGTGGTTGTTTTTGCTTGATTTGGTTGCCGATTTTGATAAATTGGTTCAGATTCCACTCGAAATCTGGGATTCCTGTCCTGGAGAATCTTTTATGAAACGTACCTAGTTGTGGAAAGAACGTCTGATGCCTCCCAAGAAGCAAATAAGCAGGTAAAATGTAAAATCTGCGATAACATTGTCTAAAGCGCGGCAAACTGCACACACGTGTGTTGAGTTCCAAAAATAAAAACAATATTAATATGTACAGTGTTATTAAAATTGCACATGGATGTAAGCTATAATAATATCTAATATATTATAACGCTAACGATGTTTTTAGGAAAAGGAAATCGGCTGCAGAAGGCATTGAAGGCAACGATGCAGATCCACCCTCTGCAAGGCCTGCAGCCCCTGCTGACTTGTGGCCATCAAGGATGGGTGAAAGACTGAAGGATGAGCTGACCCTGTACACCGAGGGCTACTTTTATGACTGCACATTTGAAGTTGGCTGTAAAATGGCTACAAAGGTAACCTATTATGTTACTTCCAAATATTTGCATGAATTTATTTTGGAAGGGTATTATTTTCCTCCATCCATGCATTAATTTAAGAATTTTGTGTACAGTCATACTTTGAATCTCATCACCTGTTGTACTGTAATTCAAATATAATTAAATTTTCAATAATTGTGTGTATTTTCCGAAATTATTATATTTTGCTTTTTTCTAATATTTAGGTCTTCAAATGTCACAAATTGACACTTGCTCGAGCAAGCCCTGTTCTTGCTCAAATGCTGTATGGCAACGATTCCAATGACAAAGATGATCCCATTCAGATCAAAAGCGTTCAGCCCGTTATATTTGATTTGGTCATGAGGTTTGTAACAGAATTAATGTACGAAATTATCGACTAGCCAAAATTTTAATTCCAGATATGTTTATGGAGGCGAAACTGACTTCAAAGATGTGGAAACGGCCTGCAAAATCTACAAGATTTCTCAAGAGTGGCTGATTAAAGACTTGACAAAAGCTACGTCAAATTTCTTGCTGAATCCAAGCCCCAAGGATGTCATCACTGTGCATGAAATGTTCAAATCTATGAGTGATAACTCTCACTCCAAAGATCTTCTTGAGGTATAATTTACATCTAATTTTATTTTCTTTCAATTTCTAAACAAAAATATGAATTTACAGATCATTGCCTCTAACACAAGCTCAGTTCTAAAGTCGGATGCTTGGCTGAAATCATCTGCTTCTACAGTCTTGGAAATATTTCGAATGAACCATTTGAAAGTTGAGTCTGAAAAGGAGCTCTTCGAGGCTTTGTACTTGTGGGGATCTGCTGGTGGCAACAAGGAGACCAATATTAAAGTAGAAGAAATCAGGTCTGAGACAAAGGATGCTTTGAAATTTATCCGTTTTATGACCATGGATGCAGTGGAATTTGGAGAACTGTGCAAATCCGAGTGTGCCAAAATGATGACTGATGAAGATAAGTTGAAAGTTCTCTTGAGCATTGTCCAGGCTGACGTAAGTCTCTTGCCTGAAAATGTCTCAACCATTAGGTGCCATCGCAAATTGCATAATACCAAACATCTGAATCACAATTTCATTTTCTCAAGAAGTTCTTCTGAGGAAGTCCATTTGAACTGTGAAAGTAACAAGTCCGTGTTGACATTTGCAACTGGTTGCAGTAGATACTATTTGCAAGGGATCCAACTGCAATGTCTTAGTCAAAGATCAGAAGTTGATTTGATTTGCAAGGTTACTTTTGCTCATTCACCAAATGCCCTTGCCACTCTCTCATTCAAAGGTATTCCACCAACTGACAATCATACTTTTCTCAGATTCCCACATGAGGTGCACCTCCAGAAAAATGTCTTTTACACCATTTCTGTTCAATATTTCCATAAAAATCCAGTCAAGTCAATCTCCTATTCAAAGTTTTCAAATGAGTGGGTTTGGGATAAGAATGGCATGTATTCGGATTTGAAACTATTTGTGACAGAAAAAAATACGAAGTTAACAGACATCACTGCATTGCGACTTATTCAGTGCACCAAATAAAATCTGAGAATCAAATATCTGTACATTCTAATATTTTTTAATCCTAAAATCAATAAAAAAAAACCAAAAATCAATAAAAAGGAAAACTGAAGGTGATTTTTTTTTCAATATATGGCTCTCTAAAAAAATTACTTTGTTGTCTTTTAATTTTCTATTTAAATTCTCTAGGGAAGAAAAATTCTTCAATAATAATATTATGTAAATAGAATTAACAAAATATGAATTGTGTTTTTTTTTTCTTTTCTGCTGGCTTTCTATAATTTATTACAGCAACGGCACAATTTTTCAAAGAAATTACATTATTAAAAATAATGCTATGAATCAATGCGATAAGACAATTTCTGAAGTATGTAATGTAATTAATTGAATATTTTAAACTGTAGCGATTTCTGAATCAATTTTAATTATTGATTTAAACTAATGAAAAGGGTTTTTTTAAGTTATAAACTGAATAACTGCTTAAAAAAATCTTAAACACGATAATTATTTACGAAGAAATTAGAACGCAACAAAAATGTTCTAATGATCCATAGAATAAAAAATTAAGAAGATAACCGAAAAAATATCCTCAAATTAGATACAAAAAAACTTCACTTGAAAACAAAGGAAACAGACACTAAAAGCTTTTGCCATAAAATTATCAAATTTATCAGTTTGTTTTTCAATGCATAATTTTTATATTTTTATAAATAATATAAAGTTTGCTTCTAAATGCGATTGTTGGCAAATTCTGGCTGGTCGCATATATTTTGATTACAAAAACTTCCTGCCAAGACCAACTCTATAAAAAAAATTACCAAACACCAAATTTGCTTCCAACATTTTCATTTCATGGCCTCAAAAAAAATATATCAAGATTATTGCATATTTTTAAAATTCATATTACAATCACAGAAAGTTTCTGAAACAAGATATGACAAGTTCCAGTTCTACGGGTTGCTAATATTTCATTTTATAGCTAGTTAAGAGACTTTCATTTTCAACTTGACGAAGCAAAATAAATGCCAGAATTGGAATTTAAAATTGAATGTACTTAAGAATCTTAAATTCAAACAAATTTAACTAGATTGCTGGTGAATCTAAAAATGGTTGTTTTCAGTCACTGAAACTTTTGTTTTCTAAGAATTAAAAACTTAAGTTAAAATCTGAATCATTAGATCATGAGATATGAGAAGAGAAGACAAAAAATTCTACTCCAGTCTTTGGCGCGAGCTACTGTTAAGAGTTAGCTTCTGTCATCATATTCCATTCCCGGGAGCTACTATTTAAAATTTGATCGCAAAAAAGCGTCACAGATGATGCTAATTTGCAAATCTTGTTGCTCCAAAGGCCTCTGGTTCTCATTTTGTTCTAATCGGTTCGCAGAAACAACACAAGGAGCCGCCGTCAATGTAATTTTCGCACCTCTGCTCATTGTTCCGAAAGGAGCGTAAAAAACGATGATGACTTGTCATCAGAATCGGCCGCGATGACAGATTACAATAATGCGCGCGATAGCCAGAGTGCCGCCGCGTTCATTTTCGTGCGCGGCTCGTGCAATCTATCATTAATATATCCTCTGGCGCGTTTTATTGCCAACGTGCCGCCGCCGCCTCGACAAATTCGCACACTCTCGCGCGCGCCGACCAAATGATGAAAAGGAAAGGAAGTCGCGAGGAGAGCAGAATAGACGAAACCCAGAGCAAAAAATCGCTCGGTAATAAGGAACTAGGGACGCCCTTGGAAAAACGTTGAGTGGCAAAAATATTTTGTGGGTAAGAGTCAAGAAAAGAAGGAGAGGCTTAGAATAGATCTAAATTCATAGAAAAGTTCTAAAGTCTAATTTTAATCCATTGAGCCTAAAGCCTATAAAGAAGTAATAAATTAATTAAAATATTTCAATAAAAGTCGCCCAAATTGTTTAAAAGAATATAGGGATATATAATGAGAAAAAAAGGCCTGCTGTGCCCGTAACCTGAATCTGCAAAAATATAATTATATTATTTTAAAAATTATTTTGATGAGATTTGAACAGTCCTTAAAATATTATTCAATTAATTGTTGACTTATTGCAAGAGAATAAATTAATTGAATTTAGGCGAATCAATTATAAAGGATGATCTAGAAATTATTGTATTCACAGGACTGTATTCAGATTTGTCAATTAATATCACTGCAAGGCAATATGATGTCTGCAGTTTATAGGTAAATACAAAAAAAACTTAAAAACGTTGATAGAAAATATTTCACTTTTTAAAACATTTAACTTTGGAAATCATGAGGGTTTAAAAAACAAAAGAAAAACTTACAATAATTCATGGAGCTGATTAATATTGTTAAAAAAAATAGCATAATACACCATACTGAGCATCTCTGATAAATACTCCAAAAGCTACCGTGCAGGGAGGTGGGCGCCTTCCTTCAATAATTAGTGGTTCGATTATCGGTGAAATTATGATCCGCAGGTGTTTTCGGCAAACAACCTGCTCTTGCATCGGCATCAAGAAGTGTAAGATAGCCAGAATTGCTTCAATGGGACAAGGCAGGGGCACTACTACTTTTAATTCTCTCTCAGTCAGGGTGGGTAAAAGAGGTAAAAGCGGCGGCAGAGTGCCATGCACGTGGATCAAAGGGCAGGTGGACCAATTCACCTGCTGTCAAACAGAGCACCTTGCTTCGCGCTTCTAGTGGATTCAGCCATACTCTCTGATCAACCGTCTCTCTTCCTCAACGAACTGTACCAGGCAATAATTACTTGCTCAATAAAGGGAAATTTCTATACCACTTTTTCCAATTGAAAAAATCGAGTGGTCTTTTACGATTATATAAAAACAAAATTAATATTACCACAGCTATTTAAAGAATTTTCTTGAAAATATTTTTCAATTATAGACATAGACTATTTTTTAAGTTGAAAAATAAATCAATACAAAAAAATGAAAACGATCAAAGAATTGTGATTGAAATCAGCTGAATTGAGCCGCAAGTTTTAAATATTTTTATGATCTGATTACAAAAAGCCTCCTTTCATCTGACCGTTGCTTGAAAATCTTGTTTGGAACAAATCTAGGAACTATTTTAATTAATTAGTATATATTTATTGGGCCATAAATTGAGGAGATCAAAAGCTCTAACTGGAAAAATTCTGTGCAAAATTTTGATCGAATCACCAGTTTGGATTGCCATGATCTGATAGCCTGAAAAGGTTAATTTCAAATCGTAAAATATTGGCTTCGGCCACTTTTATGGGTGCTGCAGAAATAATTAAGTGCAGCCGTGCTAGTTTAATGGCCCAATAATTTTTGCAAATTTCAATTCCACAAGAGACAAGGCGGTGTTTTGGCTCAAAAACTGGTTTTCATTCGAAGACAATTAGGTCCAAATGGGCAGGTCGGAAAGGATAATTGATTACAGTTGCAGTCGGAATTTTTATTGCCGCCGAGATGATCCCAATTTACCACTTTTATTTTCATTAGAAAACACCGATTTTATGTTTTAATTTGGACCGGCATTTCGGTTCACAATTGGGCTCCATCTATCAATGTGTCGCCGCCGCCATAAAGACAAATCTTGCATTTTCCAGAGATACATTTAATTTACAGCCAGTTGTTCAAGAATCTGGACCTGGAATTCTTTTTGTGATGTAATAATAACGCGCCCAGCAACTTGAAAAACTGAAGAACGCTTTGGTTTTAATCGTGACCAGAGACCAGACCATATAATGTAGGGTGCTAAGAATTTGTACATTTATTTTGTCCTGTGTTTTTTTAGTCCCACGATCAGGTAAAATATTTTTAAAATTTCAAAATTAATAATATTAATAAAAGTATATCGGTTGGAACGACGAAAACAAGTGTTTTGCAATAGTAATTTTTTTACAATTTCCGATTTTCATAGCCTGGAAATTCTCGTTATAATTTTAACAAAATGAGACGGCGTCAAATGTATTTTGTTTATTTTGGTTATTAAAAAAACTGTGTGCTTTTCTAGTCATCTGTTTGCTTTTAAATTCCAACTCCTAGGCCAGAGGCTAGAGACGCACGTGTTAGATGCAAATGATTAGAGAACAACAAAAACACTGGCTGGCGCACTCTGCACACAGGTGCCGGTCCATCTGTTTTCCACCACTCCGCCGTTTTCATCCGTCTTCTTCCTTTCCCCTTTAACAATTTTTTGAAAAGAGAGAAGCCCTCGTGTGTGTTATACAATGCGTGGCGGGGTCATTAATACGCGCGGCGAGTGCATAAAAAGAGAGCGAAGCATCGCTCGCGTTTTCTTATTACATGATTCACATCCCTCTATTCAGCGGCACGGCATTTTTCTCCCACGCGATATCATCTGAATTATGCATAAGAGCCGGAGAATAATCATCCTTGACCCTCAGCACCACTTTGTTCTCTACAGAAGCGACGGACTGCAAAAAATATGTAGAGCCAAAGAAGAAGTGTTTCGCCGACACAACAAGCGAAGAGGAGCAAAAAAATTAGCCGATCTATTTTGAGAATAATATACCAAGCAGACATAAAAGATCTCACTAGATAGAAACGATTCATTTTTTTTTCTTTTTGATAAAGAACTATTTTGAAAGATATGCATTTAAAAAATTGTAAATTTAATAAAAATTAAGCTTGATTTACGTTTTATCTTTTTAATTATTTGCATTATATTTATGTTCTCGATATTATTTTTTCAGTTCAGAACTTCCCCTGCAAAAAATTAAATTTCTTTGTTTCTTTCCACTTAATTCTGAAGGGCATCTTAAACCTTTACTTACTTAAAAAGAATGAATTTAATTTCCCAAATTATACTAGATTTTTCATTAAAATTGCCCTTTCATAATTTTGAAGGAATAATGCACTATAATTATTGTACTTTTTTTTCATAATTTCGCGCATTCATCTCTTTGGAAATTACTTTGGCAGCTTGCACTCGTAGCAAAGAGGGCAGTGAGGAATCATGCTCGGCTGATTTTAATTTTCCCGCACCGACTTCTTTGCTCATCAACGCTCATCCTCTCTCTCAATAAATGGAAGCTTAATAACAAACGCGAGAAAAGAGTGTCAGATCACGTGTGTTGTTTTCCCCTCGCTCTCTTGCCATTAAACACAATAATAAAATAATCGCACCCATAAACTGAGCTGCTGCTCATGCTGTTGGTCTGTGGTGCGCGGGAAGTTGAATTATTCGAGCAGTGAATCTATATCGGCTCGCTTACGCATTAAAAGCATCATTATTTTCTGCGGCGGGCACCAGCAATTATGCGCTATTATGACGCGTGTGCGGCCGCTTTTATTATAATCATTATTAATTAACTAGCGGGTCTATAACTCTACTCGAGGGCTTCTATGTATGTGTGCCAGTCTCCATCCTTCATGATCTATCAGCTGGAAGCAATTATTTACTTATTCAAGGTCGCTAGAAAGGGTAAAAAAAGTCATGAAGGACATTTTTAATTTTGTTTCAATACCATTAAATTGTGGTCTATGTTCTTTTTAATATTTTTATATTTTCACAATTTTTATTTCTCCTTGAAGCAAAAACAATAAATAATTTCAGTTTATTTTTGTAAATTACCCATAGGCCATACAGAAAGAGTTATCAGTAATATAATAATCATTATAAAATCAAAGTATATTCTCTCTCTTACACTCAATCCTATCCTGAACCGAAAACTCTCTTGCTTATTTTAATAGTTTTTAATTAAGCATTTGAAATATGTTTTATTATTTTATGCTACATTTTTTTACTGAAAATTAAAATTTATGAATATTTTTGTGAATCTAAAATTCCCAACTTCAGCTTGAAATAATTATAATGTTATAAAATTCATTCAAGAAAGCATTTTGCAAACCCCACAATATACTCACTCGACCTTTGCCTCCCATTCAGGCCGCACATCACGCCCGCCAGCATAAAAACGAGGTCATGATCTCACACATGCACATCGTGCCAATTTGCCTTGGGGATAAATAAAACGCCACCGAGTGCTAAATAAAGAAGCCAGCATGATGATGGAGTGGGCGTATCGTGCTGAAAGATGTAACCGATCCTCTCTCTCTCTCTTTTCAGCGCCTTCGCAAATTATGAAACGATTCAAATTAATTAACGACGTCGCTTCCTTCTCTCGCGAGCTTCCTTTCCTGCTAAACTTGTTGCCGATTTAATTGCCATGAATGGGGAGAGCGAGAATGAACAAGTTCCTTGTCGTTGGGCGCACAAATGCACTGCATAATTGAACAACAAAAGTGAGCTAATTTCCTGTCAGGGCAATTTTTGCATCCTGGAATGCATTTAGATTATTGTATGTTGAATTGAAAATAATTATCACGGTTGAATATTTTTTTAGCAATTGCGCACAAGAAATTATATTTTTCATATCATTAAAATTACTGATCATGGCATTTTGAATAATTTACAAAATGATAGAATTAATTATAGTGAAGAATACAAATCCTTTTGACAAAATGAATTTTTTTTTTATTAAATAAACACTTTTCCAATCTGACCAGTAATTTCGTTATTCTAGTAATTAAGTTAACAATTAGATAAAAAAAATGCTAGTGTCAAAAAGTAAAAGAATTGAAATAATAAGGCATATATAATATATTATTCATATTATTTATCTTTTAATGTCAGAGAAGTCATTGTATACTATAATTGCTTGTGTCTCATTTTAAATAACAGATTTATCTTTGATTTATTATATTGTTCAAATTTCTGAATTTCCATCAATGTATAAAATTAAATACTCTAAGGTTTAGAATTTCCAAAAGAAAAACATATAATTTGCTCAAAATTGGCGCGTGCTTGGAATAAATTTATCATTAAAAATCGATTATTACTTCATTTTTGCGGTTGCCCCTGTGGCGAAACTTTGAAAATATTGTGATTATGGCGAACATAGAAAAGTTTCTTGGCATTGATAGATTTTCTTTATGGCATTAGCGAATTTGAAAAGAGATGCCAGCAGAGGAGACGCGCGCCGGGTGGATTAAAATGCTCTCATTTTGCTATTGGCGCCTTATGAATAATTAATGATGCGCTGTTTTTCCTCTCTTGACTATCATTATAGTTAAAAATACATTTTCCAGATAATGAAAGAGGCGAATGCACACGACGCGTCGATGCTGAATTTTTAATCAGAGGAAGAAAATAAATTGTTTTATTAGATATAGTGTTACGAAATGATGCAGATGACTTCTGCGTAAGCTCGGGGCTCAAATGGAATCATTCGCATTATTAATAAATTTATTGGTCCAGCTTGGCCCAATCAACTGCGCTGGAGATAAGGAAGAGGCCATAAAATTATAATTATTTAATGATCGCTGCTATGTTTGGTCCAAGTTAGAAAAGAGAGACAATAATAAATAATTCCGAGTTGTTAACTTTTATTCTCGTGGATAGAAATAAAAAAAATGATGATTCCATTAATTCTTCTGAGAGGCTGATTTGCATAAGAGATGAGTGGGTTTGAATATACGAAATGTTCTCGGCGTTTGGTAAAAAAAGCAACACCTGTGCATGCTGTTGAAACAATGTGTGTAATAATAAAGAGGCATTTATCCTCTCCTCTGCAAGGTGGGTGGCATTTTTTTTTTCATCTCTGTATATTTTCATTCATTGAGAAAATTATACACTATCTCTGAAATCAATCGGAGAAAAGTCTCGAAATCGAATAATTTAATAAATCTGTAATTGAGCAGAAAAATGACCGTTTAGGAAAATTACACTCGCTTTTCATTTAATTTGGCGTACGGAGAAATATGAGCTGGCGTGCGCAAAATTACACAGGGAAGTGTTAAAAATTGGAGTAATTGAGCCTTCATTAAAAACAGACACCAGACCCTCTCGCCGACTTTGTGTTTACAAATGAAGAACCGATTATTTACTTTATGAAACCTCAGACTGTGGGAAAATTTATCCGATATTTGGTGCCTGCGCGCTGCTTTGCTTGTGTTTTCTGCGTCTGGTGCGGTGCTGCGTTTATAAGGGGCCCATGCTGAGAGCTACCAAGAGAGGCGCTTCAAGACCTTGAAATTGTGTAAATTGGACCAGAGATAAGCGGGTTTCAAAAACCTAATCTTTGGTCATTAAATTTATCTTGGTCAATTTTGAATTTTGACCGACTTGATATTTAAATTAGAATAAAATTAAAAAAGGAAGTGCAGCAATTAAAAAAAATCAAACGAACAAAATGTTTTTTTTTTAATGAAACTTAGATGAGATTCCAAACGCAACGTTGAGTTAAATCTTTAAAAAATATTAAAAATATTTATTATTTTAAATTTAAAAAATAAATATTATTATTTATAAACTTAAAAACCAAATTTTTAAAATTATATATTTTTTTTAATTAAAATTACTTTTAACGTTGTCATGATATATTGTGTTATAAATTTTTAAATTTAATAATCTTATGAATATAATTTTAAAAATTAAGGGAAAGAAACTTATTCCATAATTTTTATTTGTAAAAAAAAACCACGAGCGTCTCTCTGTGATTTATACCATCGGTTTACTTTTGTTAGCCCCAAAGCATTAGCACAAGGGCTTTTGGTGCTCGGCTCTATCTTCTTCACTTTCCATCTCTCGCTCTCTGTGAGATGAGAAGAAGTGCTTCTGCTGCTGGTGTTCCGCAGCCTCCGACAGCCACACGACGCATATCTATCACTCGCGGGGAGCAGCAGCGTCAACAAACAAAACAGCCCCTCCGTGTTTTCTATCAATCACCGCCGGTTGCATACATTCAAGTCTCCCATGCACTTTTATGAGCGGCGTTATTTACTGCGCCAGATAAGGAGGTCGACTTTATAGTCTTATCCAAAGTTGACTCGTGGCGAGCCATTCGAATGAAGAAGAAAAAGGAGGAGAGAGCGGGCTGGTTTTCTGCGTTATTTTATTGCACTTGGCTTTGCATGTGGTGCATCTGTTTTATAGTGCAAGTGGATTTTTTCGAGTTTACGATGAGAGCTAGTGTTTGTAGACATAAGAAAATTAGTTTCTGTTGTTTATTATACTTATTATTTATTAAAAATAACAAGTTTTATTTTTAAATTATTTATTTCAACGTATAAAATTAATAATTGATTATTTCATACAAAATATTTAGTTTTTTATTAAATTATTTTTTTGCGTTTTTATTATTTTAAATTTAAAAAAAAATGTGGTAATAGTTAAAAAAATTAATAGTATTATGTGGTCAATGTGATATTAAGGTCAAAACAGTAATGTTGATTTAACAGGAAGCGTTAGGAGTTGATTTCAAGTAACCTACTAATCAATTTTATTTATGAAAATTCGTAAAATCTGTAAAATCATGAATTACATAGGAACAAACAGGCATATGCAAGTATCATACATCAATGTTATTTTTTTAGCCCAAAAAATATTATATTAATATTTATTCTTCTCTGTCTAACAAATCAACCAAAGTCTGTGATGGCATTAAAAAAAATTTAATTTTAGAAATTAATTTGAGAGGATAGATTGACTGTTATAAATCAATTAAGCACTCAAAAGCCGGGAAAATTTGGCCACTTTATTTACATTTATGTAAAAAAAAATGCATTTTTAAGTATTTAATTTTAAAATTATTCTTATTCCAGTAAGTGGCCACCGCTCATATTTTTTGTGCGAGTTTCAGAGAGGAGCAGATGCGCTGGCTGTGCACCCTCTCGACGTGTAAGTGCGTGGATTCTGGGGCCTCCAGCCGCAGCAGGCCGCGCGAGTGTACAAATAGTTATATTCCACGCGAGAGAGAAAAAGAGCGAATGAACAAATGCAGCAGGCGGCGCAGTAGTAAAATTTTGATCAGCGGGCCGAAGCAGCCGGCTCGGCTCGCAAGCCACGCTTCATGCACGCGCTATTCTGTGCCGCCGCCGCCGCGCTACCCTCCCCTGATCCAGCAGCCAGCGTGTGTTGTTATTTTTTTCAGCTGCATAGAAAATGCCTCCCTCTCCTGTGCAGAACCCCTCTCGGAGTGACAATACGAGCTCGGAGCTTGCAGCCCCTATTTTTCGGCGCTCAGTCTACCTTCGGCGCTGCCCGCGAATGAACGCGTGCTGAACGAACATGGCCTTCGCAGGTGAAGCATCGCCCGTCAAGAAACAGAGACTTTCCTCGCCGGACTCCTCAACGTTGCACGCCAACAACAACAACAACTTCAACAACATGAACGTGGCGCTGACGCCGGCGCCCCGCGGCCGGGGGCGCAAGTCGGCGCAGACCTTCGTGCAGGTCATCCCCGGGCAGCCGGTGTCCGTGGCCCGACGCAACGCCCGCGAACGCAACCGCGTCAAACAGGTCAACAACGGCTTCTCCAACCTCAGGCAACACATCCCCTTCACGTCCAGAAACAAAAAGATGAGCAAGGTGGAGACTCTGAAGTGCGCCGTCGAGTACATCCGCGGAATGCAAATCATGTTGGAGGAAAACGGCGGCTACCACGTTGACCTCACGCAAAACGTGTCCTCCTCGTCACCAATGTCCAGTTTGCTGGACGACGACGAGTCGCTGATTTACGAGGCTTCGGCCCAGCACCAGGACAACACGCCGACGTCATCCAGCGTTATTGTTGACGAATACGGCAACCAGTACTTCGGCAACGCGGCCGAGGTGTCCGTCCTCACGCCCACCTCGATGGTCCTGCAGCAGCGACAAGGGTCATCCCTGTCACCCGGCTACAGCGACCGCTCCTCCAACTCGCCGGCCACCGCCTCCGAGGTCACCAGCACCGGCTACATGGGAGTCTTTGCCGCGGCCGCCGCCGGCCTTGTTTGCCACAAGGACGAGTCGGCGATGACCAGTCTGGGCTTGAAAAAGGAGATGCTGGACGAGGAAGACGTCAAAATGTTCCAAAAGGGTGGATTTCTGCAGATGGACGCCGCGATGACCGCCGCCGACGTCAGCATGATGGAAACGAACTTGTGGTGGGAGCTCGAGCAGTCGCGACGGATGCAGCAGCAACAACACACGGCGTGATGTAGAGCCCAGGCTAATTAATTAGGTAATCATCACTTTTTATTTTCAGTTAACAATTTTATTATTAAAAGATGGAAAGAAGCGAATTTATCTAAAAAAAAAATGATTAATTATTGATTATAGCAGGAGTGAGTCGGGAGAGGAATATTGTTCTAGAACTTTTATTAATAAAAGTTGTGCTTTAAATTATTCGGATAAATTGAATTTCAGAATTAAAAGCTGTTGATCATAATTAATATCTATAGATATATTTATAAATATAAAATTCAAAAGCCTGATTGAGCCTGATATTATTATTTTTCAGTTTATAGCTTCGTAGAGGCAAAAGGGTTATTTTCGTCTGAAAAAACGGTTGTGAAAATAACTCGATTGAAGTTAGTTTTTTCCCCACAATTTTTAATTAAATGTCTTGTGTTCATTGTTATGATTTTTATATTACTTCTGTCAGTTTTTAAAATATTCAAAATGTGAAATGACTTTTGGAATTATGAAAATGCATATGAGAAAAGAAATTGAAATGCTTAAGTTTCAAGCATTAAATTTTCTTATTTTTATAAATCAACGAATTGCCTATTAAATTTCCTTTCTAGAGATTTAATTAATTTGAAATTTGGCAGAAGTATAAATTTTATAGATAATCATAGAGGAGCTTTAACCCGTTTTTATTTTTTTATCCAATTTAAAATCTCCAATTAATCTTCAGATAAAAAACAATATAACTCGTAACCCCTTCTTTCGGTGAATGCATCTGCTTCCATAAATGAAAACGAACAAATAATAATAAATGCATGCAACCACCAATTAGCCTGGCACATCATTATAAGGGTCATTCTTTTGAAGGAAAGAAAAACTGCAGAGCTGCGAGAAATTAACCCCTTTGAGCAAACAACGCATAAGTCGACTGTGCGAGAGAAAAATTGCCTCTCGGAAAAAGTGTCTGACTTGTACAAATTGTTTTGATTTTTCATAGAAGTTCAGGGTCTAATGATGATTATACGCGACCTCTCTCTCTATAATAATATTCTCCCTCTCCCTGCAGCTTTTTATTTCATTATGCACCGCTCGCACAAAAGACCAAAGAAAGGGTCGCCCTTTGGAAAAAATGCACGCGGCAATGCGTCTGGTCTGGCTAATTAATTGTCTGCTGATGCTGCGGCGGCGGCTTCGCGGCGGGGAGGTGCATTTTTCCCTCCACCGTTTTTCGCCATTATTATTATTATTTTTTTTTTTAATTAATTCCAGACTTTTTATTACACTCGAGCGTTTCCTCTTCCACACAGCAAATTCCATGCAAATATAGCCAACATTTATTTGCCTGGACAATTCCGAGTACTTAAAGTGCTTAATGGGTTGACATTATACTATACATATGCATCGACCGCCGCGAGTTTTTTCGAGGGGGCGGCGGGAAACTCGCGGCTGGAGAAGGAAAATGACGTCAGGCGCTTAAGAGTGTTAAATTTTATTTGCGTTGCGATTATCTCGTCCCAATTGGGACCGTGTCAATTAAGTACATAGGAATCATTGCCACTAGAGGCAGATCTTTTTTTTTTCTAATTACAAATATTAAAGTTGAATGTTAAAAATTAAATAAAATTTAATCTTATTTTTCTTTTTGTTAAATATTTTTATATTAATTTTTTTTAAATTTTCATTTCATTGTAATTCCGTTTTTTTTCTGTAAAAAATAATTAAAATTTTCTAAACTTTGAATAGCATTAAAAAAATTACAATAACTAAAAAAATTTCTAATTGCAGTCACCAACCCTCTACACAAAATTTTTATGAAAAGAATCGTTCATTGTTGGAAATTAGTGGATATATGTACTAACTTTTTGTCTTTTTAAATATGAAATTTCATAAAAAAAATATTTTTAAATGTATGTTAAATTTAACAATATATCAAAATCTGCATACAACAATTAGTGTTATACGAATAAATTAGAATAAAATACTAAGTTTCCTGAATTACAATTATAACAATTCTCTTGAATTTACTTGAAACAAATCAATAGACCCGTTTTTTTTCTCCCATATATTCGCAAATTCTTAGTTGTAAATAGGCTTGAAATATGTCTTTATATATTTTTTTATTGTGCATTCAATTTGGTCCACGTGTGCGTCTTTAGAGTTTGCGGGTCACCCCTTGGGCATCTCGCATGGTGCATAGAGAAAACGCCGAGCACCGTTAAGAAATTCTACCTTACCCCTTGGCACAAATATACACGAATGCAAACAGAAGAGAGAGAGAGAGACAGACAGACCCCTCTCCGATGCTGCTTTTTCTACACGTTGTACTCCACCGGCTTACCATTTACCTGCGTGTCCTTGAGACATAAATTACTGGTGGATGAATTTTCATAAAGCAGCGTGAGCCTGCCGGGGAATCTTTCTCTAAAGCTACCCCCTGAAAAAACCCTGCACTATTCAACAGAGACTTATTCGCGAGTGAACGGTTCCTTAAGACGTCTATCCACGAAATGTATATAGTAAATAGGAAATTCCCTCCTTTGCCGAATAATAAAGCACACACGGCGGAGAGAGCGAGCGAGTCTCTCCGTCGCTCTCGCTACCGGGGGGATTTTATCGCCGCGTGGAGAAAAAATCATTTGTTGTCGGTGCAGCATGGGTGCCGTTTTTAGACCTGAGGGATGAAAGAAGAGAGAGAGCAGTTTTTGATCGCGAGGGTGGATTTCTACATTATAAAAAGTCGAATTTAAACTCTCACAAGGGCAGGTCTCGCGAGAGGAATCTGTGTGACATCATGAAAAGATGCACACACACGTGAACGGCCTTCTCCGTGAGATATATAAAAATTGATGCAAGAAAAAGTAAGCGTGCCCGGCTTTATTTTTTCCCTGGCCCTTCTTTTTCTACACTGACTCTTTTGTGAGTGCAGAGTTTTTTAGGTTCACGCAGGTTGTACAGAAAGAGGCATAAATTTCGGCCGGCTCTGAATAGAATTTTAATATCAAAAAATATGAAAAGGAGGAGAGGATATATGGGAAAACGGTCCGATTTATGATGCACATAAATCAAGGCGAAAATTTGATGTGGAAAATCGATTTTGCCACTATTTTTTGCACCGTAGAGTTTACGACGCAAATCTTTTCAGATTATTTTATGTCCGTTTATTTTGCTCTCTTATTTGAGTTTACACTCAAGTTCATAAAATCTATTCTCCCCTGCCAGTTATGTTGAAATGCGTCTCAATTTTTTAATGAAAAAAAAATCAGTTAAATTTTTATGTCTTTTTTACAAAGTGGCTAGATTTTAGAGTTAGAACCTGTTGCTCTATAATGAAGAAAAAGCAGGAGACATCAACGATTGCAATTCTTTAAAGTGAATTCATTTTTCGTTTTTTAAAAAGCATATCTATTTTAAGTATTTTATAGTTTCTCTTTTTGACTTTTTATTTCATACTACGGTAGCCAAAAAAATTAATAAAGTCTGTATTTTTATTTTTTCATAATTATTTTGCTCTTATCTTATACCGAATTAAAATTCCTAGATTTTTTTTCGAAATAAATATATTTAATTTTCATACAAACGTAATAAAAAATTATGAAGTTCATATTAAAAATTTTCTCGCTAATAAATAAAAGATCTTCAAACACACAGAGATGGAATATTTTGCCAATTTTTGGAACTCTAATAAAGTTCTTAGCAAAATTAAAAAAATAATAATAAATAAATGAACGCAAAATCCACAATTCCATTTTGTCTTTGATTGCAAACTTTTGCTAAGCACACAGTTCATATAAAACGCGGTGTCTGCCGTGGCTGCGTTGAACTTTTTTCTTATACACATGAAAAATCTTCGTGACAAATCACGCTAATCGTGTGTAATTATTACAAAACAGACCCGTGCACATTACAATAATGGCCTGAGACCAGCATAGTTATACACATTACACATGCATTTCATGGTCCATAGAGAATCTTTTCACCATTTATGCGTTATGAGGAGAGCAACTTGGCAGAGAGCGAGTTGGCCGCGGCCGAGTGATTAATGTGACACTTTTCCATCTACTAAATTACTTTTATTCGTTTTATTCAAATTCATACACATTTATTCGACTGTCCCTCTCTTCAGAAAAAAAACGAGTGAATAAGAAACAAAAACGGAAAACTGCAGCAGGATGACATTATGTGTATAAATTATGTGCCGCGGAAGAGAGACATATGAAAAAAACTAAACAAGAAAGAGAGAGAGAGGGTAAAAGTAAAAGAGATCACACAAGGGATGAAACCAGTAATTTATTTCAGGAAGGGTTCAAGCAGTTCAACTTAACTAAGTGCATATAAGCAGCATCCTTTATTTTTTGCGACCTTCGGCATTAACATAATTCACGGATGAAAACTCCGAGAGACGCGCCGTGTCTTTTTGTCGTGTGCTGCTGATGAGTTTTATGCAGTGCTTATATAATAAAATACGTATATATAGGGGAGGACCAGATTCAATTTATTGTGTAGAGGTCCAACACAAAAAGAAACGAGAGGAGGTGTAAAAAATTAATTTGAATTTCGCTTTGTTCTTACCAAGCATAAAATATGCGAGCTCCACTTCCTTTCCTCTCTAGAGTTTTTTTTCTCCGCATCTTCTTATTTAAAACAACACTCGCCTTTATGAAGAAATAATTAGAAGAAAATCTCCTCTCTGCCTTCCAATTTAACGACTACTTTTACGATCCGTTATAAAATTATCAACCCTCCCTGCTCCTTCAATATTATATGAAGTTACAAAGTAAACATTTGTGCAGCAGTATATGTACGAAATACGATTGTAATGCGTGCAGCCCATCATAATTTTCATGTACGCAACGAGTTATGAACTCCTGAATAGTTGACCACAACTCGATTTTGCAATAAATATATTCTCTGCTCCAACTGGCCGCGCGCTGAATGAAAAGCAGCTTTCTTTTCAAGACGGTGAATAGAATTATTTATTCGGTAAAAAGGAAAAAAAATTGGTCTGTTGCGAACGCAGATTTTATCCTGTCAATTTGGGGCCAGCGCATAAATAATATTGGCAATGAATAAAAATGCTGCTTTACATTTCAATTGGAAGATATTATAGAAATCCTATCATCTCCTTTCATATCGGAGACAAAAATCGCCAGCATTTTTTTTTTGTCATCATATTCAACCATCTTTGGTATTTGATTTGAAAGGGAGGGTCGAATTTATACTGTGAGCTGGGAATTTTCGTACTGTCCGGCCATGTCCGATGCGTGGCGAATCTCTTCTCTTTAAGCATTTTCCATTGTGAATTTCGTATAAAAAAAATGTTGAATTCCAAATCCAAACGTGCCCCTCCCTATTATTCCTATTATTGATATCTAACAGAATTTTTCGATCGAAATCCGAATACACTGGGGCTGTTCGTTCTCTCTTTCTTTCTGTTGAAAAACGTTGAGGAAGATGGGGATGTGCAGCGTGGCGTCTCTTTCTCTCTTTTTCATTGTTGCGTTTCAACACAATGCAAGATTACGCGTTAGGCCTGCAGTGTCACCTGAGGACGAGGGAATCTCTTCCGAAAAGTTCATAGGGGGATGATGCCCGCGAACAAAGGGGAATAAATCACCCCGCACACATACGCACTGGTCGCTCCAGTTCTCTCTGGCTGCCCTAGTCATGCTACAATTACCTCTGCATTGTTGAAAATATTTCTCCCTGCTGCATGTATATTCGTTACGCCATGGTTGAATTTTAATCAGAACCGTTTTTCGATAAATTCGCCTCTCGTTATTATTGTAATATTTTTTTTTTATTCACGTGACACACCAAATCCGAAATTATAAATGCTAATGTGATTTTTTCCCGTTCTGTTTGCAGGTTGTAAAAAATGCAAAGCCCTGTCAAGGAAGTCCCTTTCGGAGATCTCGCCCGTGGTGCCTTTCTCGCTCGTCCAATTGATGACTTGCCATCTCGAGGATGCCATCAGTGTAAATAGAACTTACGGAGAGCACAAAAACGAAATTTGAGAAGACAAAAATATGAGCTTGTGGCACAAATCTGAAAGCCAGGAAATGAAAAAAAAATGAAGTGCCTTGTTAATTATTTTTATAAAATGTATACAAACTTGCTGAACTATTATAATAGACTGGTGAAATTTTTTATCATTTTTAATTCACTTAAAAAATTTTAATTATAAATTTTGCAAAATTTTGTCTTATTCATATGTGTAAGACTAAAAACGACCAATGGAAGTCATAGCTTTAATAAAAAATAAAAAAATGATTTTTGAAAGTTCTATGTTCTTTTGGCAGATTAATAAATTTTTATATGTGAGAATTTTTCACCAGTTTATATACAAAAATCCTAAAAGACATTGTGATAAATTTTAGCAACCAGCATTCCAGTGAATCAAACAATGCCGCCGACCAATATAAGACAGCAATAATAAATTCTCCTGGCAATCAATAAAGGCAATTAAAAGCTCCTGTGCCTTGTGAATTATTGCAACTTTTGAAATTTATCTCTCCTCTCCTGTCTCAATGGTGCTATCGCTGATCATTATCTTGACCAATTGATATTTTCTCGTCGTTATTTGCTTGTAATAATACACCGCAGAAGCCTCTGTCTATTGTAACCTTTTTTCGAAACACCTTCTTAGGTCTGTTCATTAATTTTATTGCTACTTTTATAATTACTCTCATTTATACTGATCTCCACCCGCGATTTTGTCTGTTCGATTATCTCATCTGCCATATATATGAATTTTGCCAGCCTCCGTGCTGCAATTTGTAACATTATTATATCTTGTTTTGCTTCTCTGCAAATCTGCTGTACATAAAATTATGCCCCTTATGGAAATATTTATTTTTTGTACCATATTATTACGCTCGATGTATTTTTATAAATGCATTTACAGGCAGTCTACTTAATCATTATACTCTGTGTAAGGGAAAAGAAATAAAGTTGATTTAATCAGTTAAATTTTACTAAAAACATTTTAATTTCCACATTATGAATTAAATTTTAAGAAAAATTATCATAGATGATTATAACTTCAAAGGCCTTAAAAATCTCTTCATGCAGAAGTGACAAAAATTTATTTAAAATATATAATACGTTGAATCGATTTCTTTGATAAACGTTAAAAAAATTAGAGTTAAATAAACCTAGATTTGGTAAGAATTTAAATCCACTTTTATTTTTCTATAGATTCAAATTAATCAAGGCTTCCAAAAATGATGGAATTGTTGAGAAATTAAGTTTTTTTTTATATTTTGGGAATTCTGTCTTTTTTTGACACTGTGAGCTTGTTAAAAGAGAATTATTTTCTATGGATCACGAGATCAAATTTCAGTTCACTGGGCAATAAAAATAAGTGCAGCATGGCTCGCGCGTGAGCATATCTCCGATTTCCGAATGGTGACAAAATTGGGCGCCGCACAAGTAAGTGGTCTGGTGCCACCGAGTGCACGCCAAGTGCGCAACAGGCCTAGCTGGATGCAGGAACTCTATGGGGACGCGAGATCTGGCAAAGCCAAGCTTGTCGTGCATTTGCACACCGCATGTTGCCACCATGCACCGCTCGCTCTCGAGAAGGGGTGTTCTGACTTTTTGAGCTCTCCACGGTATTAAAAACACAAGGCCCCAAAAACACTCCAAGACGACGAAATTCTAATGCCTCATAATTACCGTCGCGACAGAGACAAAATTTGACGCGATGGCAATTCTAATAAACCAAGGAAAGTAAAAGAAGATTTGGAAAAATTATTTCTGAATTTAGTAGCAAAATAGTTGTTCAAATATTCACACAGGGCCACTTCGCCAAATATATAGTAACATAATTCAAACAAGAAAAGCCAAACTAAGAAAAAAAAAGCATTACGATTTAATAATCTTCTGAAATCACACAGCAGGTATAGCATTGGATAATTGTATTATAACAAGGTAGCATTCAAATATATTTATTCAAAAATAATATTTTATTAAATAAGAATTGAAAATTATTTTGATAAATTAATATTAGGTTTGGGATTATAATTTTGATTAATAAAAAACAATTTATTTAAAAAACCTAAATTAGTTCTTCTTGCTGTTTTATTTGAAGAGAAAGAAGGTTGCAGATTTTTATTAAATTTAATTTTTAAACCAAATATATTTGCGCATAATGGCAACCTGCTGAACATCTCTGTGCTCTATGGCTGCCTAACCACCAAGGGGCAAAGCAATTAATTTTAAATCATTTTATGTAAACAAAATGAAATAAAATTATTTAAAATTCAAAAAAACTACTTATTTAAATAAATATTTTAAATATTTCTTAAAATAAAGTTTAGTTGCAAAGTTTATAAAATAAAAGTAAAATTATAATTTTAGTAGTGAGGTTACCCTTGTTTTAGGTATGATCCAGTCAGCCAAGGAGGAAATGAGTTGTGTCACTCCCCGGGAGGAATGTTTCCACATTTGTGCCGATTGCGAGTCGGTGGCGATGGATTTTTCAAACGCGGAAATCACATATGTGCGCAGAGCAACAGGAAACAGACCCGCCCGCCCCGCTCGTTCTTCCAATTCATCTGTGCTGGAGCGCGCGTCTCTCGATGAGAGTCCCACGCGCGCGAGGCTCAGACAAGTGTGTCGGCCAGAGCGAGTGCAATTTCCACTAGATGAGCCTTAAAAAAGCAAGGGTGCGTGCGAGAGAGGGTGAAATTTGAGGCAACCTTGCGCCATCCAGGAAGTAAACAAAATCCACCCAAGTGCATCCACTTTGCGCTCCTCTCTGAATTAGCCGAAAAAGGGGCACTTGGGATTCTCATTATTTGCACTGCGCGCCTTTTCTTTCCCCATATTTTTCCACTTAATTTATGGGTTATATGGGGAGCCGACGTGCAAGATCGGCCCTTTGAGATATTTCTTATGCTCTTGCATAAGGGTGAATTTCTAAAATTAAAAATTCTGTCATTCAAGATTCGGAACCACATATGGCAGTAAAAAAAAATTGAATTTATTGTAAATTTCTTAAACTAACTATAACTACAATAATTACTCATCCATGCAGCTCTCCTTAAACAAAATAATACTTGAAGACAGTGTTAATAAAATATCAATAATTAAAAAGAAAAAAAAGAGTAATGCGGCCCATCTTGGCGCGGACCTTCTCTTGAGGCATCGCGTTTTAGCGACGTTTGCCAGAGGTGCTGCCGTTTCTTCAAATTACCTTCCATTTCGTGTATGACTAATTTGTGAGGACTGAACAATTTGCATTTGCTTATGAAGCTGATTTTTTTGCCTGTTTTTTTATTAGTAGTAATATTCATTAATGATTTTTTGATTAAGTACTAATCAATCTTTTAAGAATACACATTATAGTGGCTGCTTTTTTTTGGCAATGCGACAAAAGCAGTTCAATATCGAAATAATTGGAATCTAAATTTTGCATTATTAAGGTAATTTATAATTTTAATGAAATTTATATTGCCAAAATAAATGCGGCAAACACACCGATGGGAATATTTTAAATAAAAGTGCTTCATGGAGCAGATATGATGAGACGCCACATTAAATTAATTAATAATTACATGTTTAATGAATTTGTTTTATAGTCCAAATAAATTTTAAAGTATTCTCACGGTTACCACCCAGCAAAATTTAAAATTATATGTAACGTTTTCAATGCAATTTGGCGCCTCTCAACGATCATTGTACTTGGGGTTGACACTCGTACACAAACAAATAACAGGCTATTAAAAATTCGAGTCGCGCATGTGAACCTTTTCGGTTGCACTTCTCACATTAATTCGCTTGTCATCCGCGGTGCCTTTTCGGAAAGGTGAGTTTTCGAGTTGAGGGCACGCGCTGCTCTGCCCACGCCCCTCATTATTCTCCATTATTTTGTGCAACTACACAATACACCCTATATGCATATTAAATCGACAATGAGAGGAAAAGTCGTGGCTTCTAGGGGGTGCCTTTTTTTAATTTCACGCGCGGGCATACGTTTTTGTTGTTGCGGTGCGTGCGCGGACACAATTATTGTGTATATTTTTCGCGCTGGCCCTCGCTGCGACTTCCGTCCACGTGGATCTCGTGCGCTCTGCATTATTTTTGTTATGGTAAATAAAATATGAGCCTACCATTGTCGGTGGCCACGAGCTCGTGAAAATGCTTGTCGCTGGACCACTCTCCGATTTCATTCCTGCCGCGAATAATTACTTTTTTGTCGTGCTCGGAAAGTGTATGAGAGGTGCGTGTGAGAGGAGCTGCAGCATGACAAGAGACACGTACAGTGACAGACGGGGATGCAATTTCTTCCTGCCGAACCAACAAAGAGAAAGGACGGATGTGGCCAGAAAAATTATCTTCAATGAAAATAACATTTAGATTAAATAAGACTCTGGCTTCCGCAGAATTATTTTTCAACTCGGACCGAGTGTAAAAATAATTTTCTACATCAGCTGAGTGTAGAAATATTTTTCAACATGAGCCGATTAGAAATATAATGGATATAAGGTAATATGAAAATTATTTTTATCTGCATTCTTCCTTGTGTAGTTAAACACAGATTTAATTAACTTGGTGTTTCAAGAAAGATGAAATTGAAAAAAATCGTTTTACGTGTAATTTAAAATTTAACCAAAAAATAGCTATTCCTATGGTTCTGTGAATTTTCCCAAACTTGCTCAGTAACGACCGAAAACAAACCTCCCATCGAGGACAAGCCGAGATGATCACGCGCAGGACATAAAATTTTATGTACTATTCGCACACGTCTGAGTGTACGTCGGGCGGACGATGCAGGCAAATAAATTTATTCGAGCGGCCGCTTGTTTTAAGTGACACCAGACGAGAGTTGGTCGTGTCTCCGCCGACACAAGGGGAAGACACAGGCCATTTAATTAGCATAACTCTCAGAAGAAGACATCAACAACATAATCAAGGGGCCAATGGCTTGTTTTCTCATTTGCATGCGGCCGTGCCTGCAAATTTCCCAGACGCACCTATAAACAAATGAGTTGATTGGCGCTCCACTTTTGTCCTTTTATATGCACCCAATTATATCGGCGGCGTCTGGCTCGCTTTAATTGGCCCACCGAAAATACTGCACAATTATTGTACATGATCGATATTGATCTGGGTCGTAATTCTGCGCTGCGTCTGGACTTTTGCAGAAAATCGTCTGGGGTGGGCCCAATGAGGTAAATTCCGAGTCAAAAATTGAGCAATTTAATTTGTATTGTATTATTATTAAAAATATTAATAATCATTTGCTGTCTAACGTTTAATGTGAAAAATTTAATGAAAATTATATTTTTTTTACATAGAAAAACGTTTATTAAATTTTTTATACGTAAATTATTTATATTTTTATTTTAATTTACTTTATTACACGCAGTTCTTAATAAGTTTTATCCATTTTTTTCTATAACTTTTTTAACCTTTAAACTTTATATAATAATTAATTGATCGTTAAGCTTTCAAATTATGATTGAATTGAACAGAAGTATCAGTATATCAGCAGTATCTCTTTGTAAAATATTTTCCTACTGAATTATTGATGATTTTAACAAAATATGTCTTGGCAAGACAAATTTAAAAGTATTTTTTACCTGCCTTTTGCTGCATTATAATTAAGACAAATTAATCTGATGGTATTCTTTTTCATCAAACACTTTTTATATACAACCCTGACAGATCTAATTAAAAACCGCAATTTCCTCCTCACGAATCTCTTGATTGAATTACTACGAATTTCCGTTATTTAAACGCTTTTCCTCATAATTGAAAAATTGGTGTAAAATTTCAATTCCACCCTTTCCCACGCTCAATTGGTGCGTTTGATGTGTGCAATATGGAAAACGCTCTCACCCTGACGTGCGAGTAAACGCGGACCTGACGTGATGCGTTTTGCAGGGGATGTGGTGGCCGCGTGGCCAGGTGCATTCCTTTCC